ACTTTATAGATGACATTACAGAAAGTACTTAAACTTTTCCAAACTTAATATGCATTATTCATCCAGATAAAACTGAATAAAAAGAGCTGACAGAACTTTAAACGTGTGTTCTTAAGAAATGTCTAAGAATAAAATAGGTTCACTCTAGCTCTTCTTAAAAATCTGACATCTGTACCAAAGGAAGCATCTGTGTCCTGTCAGCATCAGCTCCACGAACCTTTTTCATGTTGGCAGAATGAAGCACTACAAGGAGGCCTTGAACCTGGAGTGAATGACAGCGTGTTTGGCTAATGCATCATTCCTACAAATTGAAACAATAAATCAAATCTCTTAGGAAGTTTTGATCTCTATATAAAATAAAATAAGGGCGCACAAATTGACAAAAGTAATATAATAATTTCTCTCTCTTACATTCACCTTTATGTTTCTAAATTTACAATAGCTATAAAATCCCTTTATTTCAGATATTGAGTCATGGTATGTATGACTCAAACAGAGCACATGCATTTCCACAAATATGTTTCTAATAAAAGCACAAAATAAAATCCAAAAACTAGTCAAAGAAGTGGTTTCTTTCATTCTCTTCAAAGTTTGAATTTTTAATAGCTTTTGTTTTGAGAAATGCATAGGTTTGAGTAACATGCTAAGTGTGGCTGGATATGTGAACATTTTTTTTAAATATTAGGATTGTATGAATTTATAAAGCTTTGCACTCAATGGTTTTTGATCCCAACATTCTATGTTTATGATGAAATAACTGAGAACTGTATACACTTGTTGGATCACAAGGATCTTTCTTCTAGCAAATTTACCCTTTCCATGGTATTCTGAGCTACCTCTCAGACTAGACTAGAAAGGAGAGTAGAATCTGAACCTCTGCTATGTCAGCAAGAGTAAAGGTCTGACATGCCCACTGCAGTGCTGGAACGCAGCTTTCCTTCTTGGGAGATTTAGATGCTTTCTCCCTATCGGTTGCTATGCTGACAAATGTATATTTCATTCCTAATAGAAAGTATAATTCCTATTTTTCCTTACAGAAAATGTCTACAAATTATACATATATGAAATATTTAAAAAAAAGTTGTCAAAATTAGAATATTTAGTTCCAGGCTATGACTAAAAGTTGGTAAAAATACAAATATTTCAGTCATAAAATATTTCTTACATTCTAAAATGATATATCAATACAATGATATAACTAAGACCAATATTCTGGGTTTATTTTCATGAGTTTATTCTGATATATCAATAAACCTGACCTTACTTTAAACAATCATATACCTAACCAAAGTCCATACCTTACATTAGATAAATAGCACCTGTTACCTCTACACCATAATTTATCTTTTAGGTGCACATTTTACCTCTTCACCCAGATTACAACATCCTCTTGCATATGTTTTCTTATTTACACTCTTATGTATTCTGAAGCCCCAGTATCAAGATTACTGCAGTTCTCATCAAGAGATTTGCTGAGTTTTGAATTATATGATTCTGTGAGTCAGTTCTATGTTTAACAGACTCAATGTTTTTTATCATGTAAAGCCTACATAATTAAATGGAAAGTTAAAAGAAAATATTCACAGATAATACCTCAATGTACAACATTTTAATATCTTGGTATCATAGTATTGGTGAATTATTCCTTTTCCAAATGGAAAATCCAAACTACACAATGCTAATACCATAAAGGGTTTTGATAACTCCACTTATAAAAAATATAATGTTTTTTACCTAATATATCTGTTGTAAAAGTTACAAATTTTCTATATTCTTGCCTTCCTCTTGTGTTTCAGGTACTGCACTATAAGGTAAAGTAATTTTTCTCTAAAATAAACAAACTATAATTAAGAAAGTTTAAAAAAGCTGGTCCAAGGTCTAAATTTCTAACTACCAACTTCTCCTGCTTCTCAACAGCATGACCGGGTCAAATAGTATTAGATAAAATTAAGTAGGTGAAAAATCATTTAATGCAACAAATGAAGATAAACATAATTGTATTTTAATGTAGTATTTCAATTCTGTAGTTTAAATATAATAAAGAATTATGATTTTAAAATAATGGTTATTATATTACTACCTACACGGAACATTGTTTTCACTTACTAGCTTTGATCCCTGTCTTCTTTTATTAATATCATCCATATTTCAAGTGCAGAATCACCTTTTCTTTCTCATCTTCACCTGTGCTGCAGAGTTTGTCAGGTAACTTGGTTCTAGCCAATCATATCATCAAATATTCCTGGGCACAGTAAAAGCCTCAGCATAGGCATGTCAAACAAAGCTAGTCAAAGCCAAGGATACTCAAATCTGTTTTTTGTTTGTTTGTTTGTTTTTGTTTTAGTTTTGAGTAAAGGGAAAGAGAAACCATCTCTTTACACTGGATTTGTTGAAAAGATCCCAACATCTGTCCCAATAGCTGCTGAAGGCAGAAATGGCACCATTAGAGGAACCTCCTGAACACAGAAACTACAGCAGGAAAACAGTGAGATGCAATTGGAGAGAATGACTGTTTATGGCATTATCTAAGTACCAGACCCAACCGTGCTTGAGGAAATTTCTACCTCTATAACTTTTAATCATGAGCCAATAACAACTAAAACCCTTGACTTTTCTGAAACCAATTTGCCTCATGGCTTCTGTCATTGCCAAACAAAGGTTCTGAATTAATCACTATGTCTTTATATTTATATTGTGTTCTGACCATATATTCACACCTATCACTTCATTCTGAAAATACCAATGTGAGATATTGAGGGCATATGTAATCTCCATTTGATAGATGACCACTATTTGTATGGTTTCATTAAAATCACAATTTAATATCTGTGGTAGAAAAAATTTCAAAATTTCAAATTTTAAAAAATTACATGTATACAGCATCCTAGTCAGCTGAAATTGTAAGAAGACTATAATAGAGATATTAATCAAGTAGTCAACTGCTAATTCAATATGAGATATAAAGGAGAAAACATATCAAGATTTTAAGAAAAGAAAAATAATAGCTTTATATAAATATAGAAGTCAGAAAGAATGAAAATTTTAAGGGAGCTGGAGGAATCACTAATTCAGTTTTAGAGATACATTGTATAAGATTTTGGTAGGACACCTAGTTAAACAATTCTGGTGAATGACTTTAAATAAATTAGACTTTCATTTAGAAGAGCCTTCAGGAGAAGAATAAATATCTGTGAATTGTTAGTAATGTTGATAGATGAGGCTACAGAAGGGGTACCATAACTAATACATCTATGAATTTTTAGATTTCAGGTTTTTTACCAATATAAACTCATAATACTACAATGATCCTGTAAGGATGGTAATATCACACCAATTAACAGATTAAAAAAGGGAAGCACAGAGACTTTAAATATAATGTCTCCAATTTTATCTAATATGTATCAGATTTAAGATTTTAACCAACAGCTCACTGATTCAGAAAATAAACAATAACACACCTATATGAATGAATGAATGCATATTACTGGAAGAGACTATTTAAATAAGAAAATATTTTCAGAGAATACAGAGGAGTATGAGAGCAGATGTAGAGTAACAGGAAGAAAACAACAGCCAGTTAACAAATTCTATCTGCTTTAATATATATATCAGAAAAAAGAACCCTGAGTATTAATAAAGTAGATAAATAGTGGAAAAAAAGATATGTCATGTAAGTAAATAACACTATTAACCGGTTTTGAAATCAGTCACTGAAAAGTAATTAAAAGAATTCAAGACCCAATTTACAAATATACAGGTAACATATAGCTTATATATATATATGAGAGAGAGAATGCAATAAAATATATTTGAGTTTTGAAATATAATTTAATTGGCATATACTAAATGTGATTTTCTTTCTATTAGACAAAAATGACTTTGGAACCTAAAAATTAGACTATATGAAGAGCAGTTAAATTATTTTCACTTTTATATTATACTAAAGCTGAATTATAATCATTACTTTCTGAATTAGTTAATATTTCCTTTCTCTTTAATAAGGATATTAATACTATATTCCTTCAATCAAATATACACATTACTCCATTTGAACTCAACATTATCAAATGTAACATTAAGGGACTTTCTAATTGATTTCACAAGGAGTAGCAAGCACTTTTGTTTCAGAGAACTCTGTCTTCAGGAGCTTATTCAATAGAAACACATCAAGAAACAAACAAGTATGACACAGAGTTATCAATGGAGGAAAACTAGCAAGGGCTCGAAGGTTGCTCCTGCCTCACTGGAAGTGAGTGGTGAGCCAGCAACCCCTGGCAACACCGTACGTCAGCAAATCTCCAATCTTCAAGCAGACATGGCATTACTTTCACTGGACATTCATCAGTAAATTTTCCTTTTTCATTCATTTAATGCATATCTAGAAATAATCCTAGTTTATTTGATACTTCAAATCCATATATCTCACATTCATTACCATGAATTTAATTCTTTCTGGTCATTATAAGAAAAGAAATCTATCATTTATTCAGTGCAAACTTAAAAATAAACTAAGCTTTATCTGCTAAAATAGGAATAATAGGAAAACATTGAATAGTGTGAAGTTTTAATTTAGGATAATTTATTTAAAATAATAACTTCTACTCCTTAAAAAAATCCAAACTTAGGCTAGGAAGTTTATATTAAAATATGATTATATTTTATGCCACTAAGTCCTACAACTATAAAATAGGCAATTCAAGTTCATCCATGTTCACAGTTAAGGAAGCAAAATGCTTCAGAATACTTACCCATGTCCCTAAGGTAAGGTAATGACATGAACCTTGGGTGAGATATAGTTCAAATATATGAAGTTGAAAGACACTGAAGTTATTCATGAGACTGCAGATTGATTTTTAATGCTGTACACAATTTATTTCTCTGCTAATACTAACATGCTAGTATTAACACATTCATTATAAATTGCAACTTGTGAACAGTCTAATTCTGATTGGTTATCTATTGGTTTTACAAAGCTCTAAGAAATCAAATGAACAACTTACTGTTTGGAAGGTTCAGGAAACTTTAGTTCTTCTCTTTTCTTCACCTCCACCGTTGGCTCCATGGGAGTGAGAACTACAGCAGCACATGAGACTACAGAGTGGTATGAATCCTCCCGGCAAACTGTTTTTATTAAAAGAATCAATTGTAAATGTCAAAATAATTTATTAACTATTCTCTTTCCCTTTTTCTCTTTTTTTATTTTCAGTAAAAGTGGTAACTCAATGGAAACATTAATTATCACTAAATTATCCTTAATTATCATTTCCTACTCTTTTTCACCCACTAGTTGTATGATCTTAGGCAATCACTCTGTTTTGAAGCCACACAGTGAAAAGCGTGTTGCAAACACTTTACAGCCCTTTATTTAAAAAAGAAAGAAAAGCTTTTCATTGAAGAACGAGAATACAAATAATACACAGTTAAATTAATCTTTGTAACATGAACACATGTGTTTAATCAGCATTAATATCAATAAATAGGGCATTACTAGCACCCCCAAAATCCTGTGGTACCCTTTCCAAATCATTACTATAGCTTCCAAACTTAGCCTTTATGATTATGTGTACAACCATAGATCAGTTTGTCTACTTCTAACCTTTATATAAATGACATCATACTCTCTTGTGGGTGAACTCCTTTATGTATGGCTTATTTCAATTTGTTCATTCTTATAACTGTGGAGCTTTCCAATGAATGATACATATGTATATGTGTACATATGTATATGTGTATATAAATATATGTGCATATATACATACATGCACAGGGTGGGGCAAAAGTAGGTTCACAGTTGTGAGTACAAGAAACATAGGGTTTATTCTTGTATTCTTTATTAATTATTATATTATTTTCCATGTGAACACCTGTGAAGCTATTTTTGCCCCATCCTGTGTACACACACAGACACACACACACTTTATTGGTGACAGACGCTTGGATTGTTTCTGGTCTGGGGCTATTTCAAAAATGTCTATGAACTTTCTTACACTTTTGGTATATAAATAGATTTGTATTGGAAAAATACTTATGACATGCTTCTGGGGCATGTTCATATGTTTTATGTTCAGCTTTAGTAGATAGTTCCAAACAGTATTCTCAACTGATAGTGCTAACCTTCATTCCCCAAATAGAAATCAGAGGTTCAGCTGTTCTGTATCTATACCAACACTTGTTTCTTTCTGTTTTTTTTCTTTTTAAAATTTTAATATTGTATTAATTTTATTACTATATATAAATTAACACTAATTTATCAGCTTTTAACAATGCCCATCTATTATCTCATAGGTCTGCTTGTTAGTCTAGGCAGGCTCAATTGTGTTCTCTGGTTAAGGTCACTCAAGGCCAGTGTCTAGCTGGCAACCAGGCTTTGCTCCTATATAAAGTCTATGGGTAAAGAATGCACTTCTGAGCTTGTTTAGGATGTTAGCAAAATTTAGTTTCTTGCAGTAATGGGACACAGGTCTCCTTTGCCTTGCTGACCAGTGGCCAATGACCACTCTGAGCTCCTAGAAGCTACCTGCAGAACAATGGCCAATTGCCTGTCTGTCTCAGCAATGGAGAACATCCCTCACATTAAAGACCTCTCATGCTCTAAATATTTCCTTTGAATTAACATCTTTAATTCAGTGCTCATAAAAGGCTTTTCTGAAATATTAATCCAGAATTGAAAAATAAGCAGATAAAATACATCATCACTTCATGACTATAAACACATAGTAAGCAAAAGCTGGTACACATATCCATTCCATCAGTAGCATCATGGAGCTATACAATGTCAGGGCACTGTTACAAAGCATTTGCAATAATGAAACTTAGTGCACTGGAAAATAATAGTGTGTAGAAAATGCTGTCATATAAGTAATCAGCAGGCCAGGAACAGAAGGACTCCTGCTATCTTGTTCACTCCTGTTTCTGAACACATGCCAGATGCAAAGGAGGCACTTGATAAGTATTCGTGTAATGAATGAGAGATTGAAAAAAATGAACAGAGGTATTAAGGAAAAGAAAGGATGCTAGCCAAGCATATGAGAGAGTGCAAGAAGGCAATGAGATGTGAGAAAATGTTATATATCTTGAGAAACTTAAAAAAAAAAACACATTTAGTGTGGCTGGGGCCTAGCCAAGAAGAAGCTGAGGAATAGAAATACAAATTATTGCCAATACCTTACAGGCCTTCTAAGCAACATTACTATTTTTCTGAAGGTAATGTGGGCTATTAATCATTTAACCAAGAGGCCTAGCAACATCTAAATTCAGGAACAGTATCAGGTGAAACCACCAACAATACTACTGAAATAAATGAAATGAGAAACGGTGAGGGTCTCCTATCATTGGGAATGGCGGAGTAGTGGAAAGGAGGGAAAGGTCCGAGTGCAGAGCATCTGGAATTTCAACACTTCTCCTCCAAACATGTACTCACCTTCTATTATTTACTTGCTTATTTTATTAAATGAAACAAAACTCTCAGTATATTACAAAAACAAAAGATATAGTGAAAGTTTGGAAAGATGAGAATGAAGAATTGGCAAAGGCTGGAAGCAAAGACCTTCAAATTAAATTCATAAATAACTTAAATATTAATTTAAATTAAAAACCATATATTGTACAACCATAAGGTATAAGGTTATGATTTTGTAAATTATTTTATTTTTATTCATTTTTAAAGATTTTATTTATTTATTTTTAGAGAGAGAGGAAAAAAGGAAGAAAGAGAGGGAGAGAAACATCAACGGGCTGCCTCTGGTACACGCCCCAGATGGAACCCAACCAGGAACCCAGGCATGTGAACTAACCGGGAATCAAACCAGCGCCCCTTGGCTTTGCAGAACAACACCCAACCAACTGAGCCACACCAGTCTAGGCTTGGGAATATTTTTTTAAAAGATGTGAAGAAGTGTACAGAAATTGTTAATACCCTGAACTAATAACTGATTTCAGAAAAATAACAGAAATAGAAATGAAAAAATACTATATTATGGAAATTTTAAACTAAACTATAAATTGTAAAAAAAAAATTACATTTTGTCAAGCTTATATCACATGATCAAAAGTCTGATACTTTTATTGCATGTACCAATAGTAACCTTTCATCTTGTAACATGTTTGCACAGTCATCACGTTTATTATAAAATTTTATTCTTCAAAATTGCATGTTTTTCTCCAATTTCATACTGCTTTCAACAATTTATTTCTTATCTCAGCTGTTGAATCCTTCCCTCCATAAATCCTACAATCTGAAAATATTTTCTAGAATAAAACTGAGAGCTCACAATTGGTAGAGAAAAGAAGAGCAATGTAAAAATGTGAATTCAGTTTGTAAGGTTGGCAATTTTATTAGTATAACTCAAACACTGTTATGTTTGGGGCAGGCAAAATGCATCTTTGGCACATTCAATGCAGGCAGAAATAGCCCATGGCTTTCTTCAATGGCAAACATGACAAAATAATTATAAATTTCTCCTCACTGTAAAGTAAGAGATGTATGGGTAAAGTGTAATTTTGTTTTAATATATAGAAAAGTACATAGCTGAAGTGTGTCCCATCCCATTTATATGTTGAGATCCTACCCACTAGAGCCTCACAATGTGACTGTACTTGGAAGCAGGCCATTTAAAGAGCTGATCAGATTAGAGTCAGGGTGGGCCCTAATCAGATACGATTGTTCTCCTTCTAAGAAGAAATTAGGACACAGATCCACACAGAGGGAAGAGCATGTGTAGCCACAGAAATAACAGGACCATCTACAAGCCTCAGAAGAAATCAAAGTACAGACACTTTGAACTCAAACTTCTGGTCTCCAGGAATGTGAGAAAGTGAATTTCGATTGTTTAAGCCACCAAATGAGGTGTTTTGTTAATGGCTGTACTACCAATGCTGCCAAACTAATATAACCACCTTTTTATTAAAAAGATAAATGATTAATTTTATTTACTAATAATGATTCAATAAAATACAAATAATTTAATGAAAGGATCTTAGAGTTTCAGTCCAAACACACACTTGAGTCTACTACTATCCTCTTCCACTGCAAAATCTCTGACAGATGCCTATTCAGGCAATTCAGCTTGTGCTTCAATAATTCTAATGCTGGGAAGTTTACGTTGTCATTCTGGCTGTCTTCTTCCAAATGTGATTAGATTGTTAAGAGTATTTAAAAATACACTGTATAGAGATGTATTGTGTGTGCTTGTTAGATATATTGCATATGTATATATTATATATATTATACACATATATACATTTTATACAGATATACATTTAATATTCAAAGCATTAGAAAGAAAAGTCATAAATAATACATAAACTGCTTTCCGTAACTTAAGTATTAAAAATTCTATCAGAATTTTTTCAAATGTACAGCCACCATTTAGAGGAAGACCCTAGGTTAGGTGATTTCCAGGCTTTCCTAGAAGGTGATTATAGAAACAATAGTAGCACTAGAAGTCTGTTGTCACTGGCACAGATTCCACATGTAACATTAGAATGGCATCATTTGTGTGGCCTACTGCTTCTTAATAACCAAGTAGAGGGTATGTGCTTTGTTCATTAAATTTCCATGTTTGACTTTGCAGGACAGTTAATACACATTGTGGCAGACTGTATTTTCCAAAGACGGCCCTCCAGTATACATTTCATCCTGTTGTTTTCAACATTCTGTGTGACAGGTGGGGGCTGGCTTCCTCCTTTTGAAACTGTGTAACTTTTGTGACTACCTTGACTGAAAGAGTATGAAAATGATGCTGTTTTTTTGACTTTGGAGTTAGGTCACAGAAAGGTCTGTGCCTTCTGTCTGGCTGCCCTTGCTGCAGGGACCCAGCCACTGCGTGGTGAGACAGCCACGCCCCATTAAGGCCCTCAGTGGAAGCAGTCAACAACCACAGAATGTAAGTGGCAGGGCTTTGCATTTTGGCTGAGTCCTTAAACATCAGATAGCACAAGAAACCTCTTCCTGCTGCACCCTGTCTGAATTTCTGACCCACAAAAAGATGAATGATGTGTGTGACTTAAGCCACTAAATTTTAGGAAAATTTGTTACACAGAAACAGATAAACAATATACTCATAAAGAACATTTGTAATGAATGACAAAAATAGATTCTGTTGCCCCAGGGTAGGTTTTCA